GCCCATATATTGGCAAAGTTCATTATAACACTGTTGGCAACTACAGCCAAAAAGAGATTTCTAAGAGAATAATAATACTCAGGGTGGTGCAAAAGTGGCTTTACTGAAAAAAAATTTGAATATCTGCGCCATCTTTGGACCAAATTAACTGGGTTTTTTTACCGCTGATAGAGGAGTGTTCACAGGTCATATCCATAAGAAAAACGTTTAAAAATGCTGCCTCACAGTATACACTTGATTTCAATAAAAAAACTGACCTATGATAGGTAAGGAACCAATTTATTTCCTTAACAAAAAAAAAAACGATATGTTATATATATTATATTTTTCGATTGATTCTTCAAACTATTGTTGTTGAGTCTCAAATTTATACCATAGATGCATGTCTTGTTACTCAGTGTACCCTGAAGTTTCAACTGTAAACAGCTAGGATTCGTTGAGAAAACTGCAATACTGTTTTTCGTAACTCGTTTAAGGTTACACTTTTTATTGAAGTCAACAATAATACTTCAAAACAGTTCTTTTAAACATTTTTCTTATGGATATGACCTATAAACACTCCTCTATCAGCGGTAAAAAAAATCAGTTCGTTTGCTCCAAAGATGGCGCTGATATTCAAATTTTTCTCCAGTAAAGCCACTTTTGAACCACCCTGTTCAAAATAAAGAAAGTATCAAATAATAGTATAATGTATATTCTTTTACCTGGATAGTCCTTGGTTCATCTTTCACTGTGTTTGGTAGTTGCGATCTTCGAGCAATGAATTTTTTTGTCACGGTTGGACTGACGGTTTGAAATGTGTGAAAATCATTTACAGCACTTGATGAAGGATTTACTTCAGATGATTGTGTTTGATCATCAATCGAATGATTTTGTGACATTTGAGTTGCTTTCTTCATTGCACTTTTCGTGGGTTTTTGTTGCTGTTCATTACTTTTTCTTGATGTTGATGATTTTGCGTTAGACAATAACGGTGTCGAGTTCGTCGAATCAGAAGTAGCTGAATTCACATTGTTATTGTTTCGTAAACCATCTCTAACCGAAGAACGACGTTGCTGATATGACACAGTACTTCCGTTAGCGGTTCGTCCGACAATTGTTGTTGGTAAAGAATTTTTTCGATTATTTCGTCGTTTTGTTACTGTTGTTTCACTATCCTGTGTACTTTTCTCAATGGGTTTGATATTTAACTTCCGTCTACGTTTACTGGCTGGAGCTTCTTGTTGATTATCATTTAATGGATATTGCTGAGATTGTTGATTAACTGTTTTCGGTGAATTTTTAACATGAAGCGGTGACGGTTTCGTTATTATATCAGTTACTGAATCGTTATCATCATCTTTAAATTCAAAGGTTTTCTCCGCTTTTTCAGCCAATGATTTATTATCCGGCAGTGTTAATGATTTTATATCTTCTGATTTTGATGTTGTGCTTGGTGCTGTTAATTTACGTTTATTTCCTTTTGGACCTATTATAGAGAAAAACAATGAAATTATTAAAAGATATAACAAAAAGCTCATATATAACGCTTACCAATTTTCTGTGTATAAAAATCAAATTTTGGTTCCATTTCTTGCAACCGTTGTGCTGGTGATTGATTTAGAGCTTCATTCGCCTCACTAACAGCCATTTCCCAATCATCACGTCGGCCAATAGTTATTTTTAACTGAAAACGTTCAGTTAGTTGTTCTTTCATTGATTTTGTTTGTGCCTAAGACGATTTAACGCAATCAATAACAACATTATGACGGCAAGACAAAATTGTCAATACCTGGTCGACAACTTCTTGTGCATATTTTGTAAATTCTTCCACACCTTTAAAATAAATAATTGATGAATCACCTAGCCAAGCAAAATCAGCTGTTGAACCATAAAATACGACAAAATAAGATCGTTTTGGACGTTGATTACCTTGAAAGAGAAAAAAACATATTTAGAATACGTGTGCCCAAAACACTGATACTGGAGAAACTTCAACATATGATCAAGAAAGAAGAACATATAGTTCGTTTACAACAACAAAAAACCTAATCTACAACGATTTTCGAGAAAAGAAATTATTACCTACAGCTTATTCAAGAATCTATCTCACTCGAAGGTCGTTTCTGAAGTTAGTAGAAAAAAACGCCCTCTGTTTCACACACAACAAAGTTCATAAACCTTATTTGGTTTTCTGTTAAAGATATAGAATTTTATGAATATAAAACGCACCAACAATTTTTGTATGTGACTGTTGTGGATCAGTTGGATCTGCGACTACCAGACAAGGCCACCATGGAGAGCCAGACACTTTTCCCCAAACAACGTCGGATATTTCATATCGAACTGGCACTCCACCGTTATCGTTGATTTCTGTTGAATAGCTTCGTGGAGCTTTTGTTTTTGTGATATGATTAACTTCAGTTGCTGATCGATGTTGTGGTTGCGTAATCAGTTCATCATACTGCATTGTTTTTCTAGTTTGTCGTGAACGGCGTGGGCGACTATTTGTAGAAGGTGCAGGAGGTACAGGTTGTGTTTTTACTTCCGTTAGTTCATTACGTTTTGCTCTTCTTCCTCTTCTGGCTGATGGTGGTGCTGATGATGAGACGGGTAATTCTGATTGTGGTTCTTTGTGTTCGTTACTATCTTGTGCTGTTGTATCCATAGTTAGACCATCCAACGAAGATTCGACTATATCAAGCGAACCAGATTCCGGATCTAAAAAATATGGAATAAGCATGATATAAAGTTTTAACAGATGGAAATACACTTAGACAATTGTACCTTTTTCTTCGTCTTCGTAAGAGGGTGAAAAGTCAGCGACACTAGTAGTAGTCATCTAAAGGCAGAAATAAAAAACTTACCAGCGTATACCTTAAGGTTTAAAAATAAAATTTCTCTTATATGTGGGTAATAACGAAGACGTTATACATGAAAAAAACTAAAGACTCGGCTAATAAGTCATGATGAGACGATTGGTATCTTTTTTCAGTTTGAGACATATTTCTTTCGTTGCGAGAGATGGAAGTAAGACAGGAAAAGAATGTGCCATATATTTAGTACTTTGCTCACATATAAACTTCAACTCCTTTCTCTACTTCTGTTAACTATGAGGTATTTCACAAATTATAGAAAAGAAAATAACAATGCATGAAAGTATGATTGACAGAATCACTTTCAACACTCCTTGGAGTTCCTAAATGATACACATACACGTATCATAACTAGAAATATATAGGTACAGTCAAAACCGAAAAACATTTCCACTATGTTCTTAACTCTCACTTGAATAAATTTAGATTTCTGTAGTAGTCCTAAAGCAGAGAAAAGGACCACTGTTAAATAGTTTTTCACTGAGCTAAATTAAATATCTATAGCTTTTGTAACGCCACACACACACACACATAATAATACGCTTTATTCACGAAAAGTGAAAGTCATTAAAGATCCCCGACCCATAATAACAATGGTTCAAGCCAAGTAGTCAAAGTTGACGCGATGAACAGTAAATAAAATAAGAACACCAGGGAAACCAGCGAACAGATATAGGGGAAATAAAAAAAGAACAATGTAAATAAAATAAATAAAAAGAAAAGAAATAATACCGATAGAGGGATAATATGATATATTTTAAAAAATTGTACCGGTCATTTACGGCGAACAGAAAGATGCAAAAGAGAAAGTTGAGGCACGAGTAAAGAGCTAGACGAATGATAGTCAAAAGTATGAGAGATAACATGTATACTAAGTTTATTGACAGAGCCAATAACTGAAACAGAAAAAGAACTGTAGAATAATAACGAAGGGTAGAGGAAAGATTCGACGCTGAGCATCAGATAGGGTTAGCCCAAAGACGCGGCCATAAACTGTCAACAAGCAAGAACCAGGATTTCCGATTGTTCTTAGGGATTGGAGGGGCTAAAAATTTTGCTTCACAGAAAGTGGCTGGCGAAAAAAATTTTTCGAAATTTTTTGTCAGAAAGTTGCTGTGGAAAAAGGTCAAAAATTTTCTCAGAAAGTCCAAAAACTTTTTTAGGGAGGGGTCAGCACCCTCTTGATCGGGAACCCTGGCAATGACAATATCTCAGGCATGTTCAGTCCATCGCAGGTTGTGCGAAACGAGAGCGCCCAGAGGGAACAACAGAGAGAGAAACGCTATTAACATACATTAGTTTGTAAACAAACGAGAAAACACTGAAGGAAAAAGGAACCCAAGAACATTTACTCACACTCAAAGACATAAGATTTGAAGTAGAGTAGTTAGAGGTGCAATTGATACAGTTTTGCACATGAGAAAAATCAAGAGTATCAAGAGTAGTCAAAGAAATAATCAAAATAACATCACCAGCTGAACGGCAGGTGGAAGAGACGGAGAAAGATCATTGATAAATATGAGAAATAAAAGCGGTTCAGCACTATCTTGCGGTACACCAGAAATAACAGCAGAAGAAACAGAGTTATTCGTACTCAGACACTGACAACGATTTTTAGATCAGAAGATACAAGGGAAACATAAAAATAATATTAATCTTCGCTTCTCATTAAATCATACATAATTTTCTAAGCTACTGCCTATTATTCCAACACACCTAAGATGTAGGGTACGATGAGTGGAAGGCTTGACGAGTATGCCGTGAAACAAAGGAACAAGTAGCCATTTTCACATGCAGCACTAAAAGGGCAGCCATTAAAGATAACATGTTATTTAGAGAAATAATTATTTTATGAAATCTTTATTCTTAGCGCTACGTATTGTTCTCAGTTGCATTCTTTTATTGTAATTTAAAATAATCTTCCTCATTAAACTTTTAAATAATGAGAATACGTTATACAATGCATAGATGAATTCATGACATAAGTGGGTGTTGATACTTAGTAACAGAAGGGAAGACATGGGAAAGAAGGAGCATTATTTTCAGAACGGTAAATATCTTTTTTACATCTTCGGTCAAGGATTGTCGTTGCTAGTGTAGCTGAAGTGCATTGTTAATGCACATTTATCGTGCTCAAATTTATTCTGAATAGATAATTATTGAATGCTATTCTTTTGCACTATATTTCAGGTCAGGAAAAACAAATAAACGAAAAATCGACAGAATTCTAGCAACGACAACTCTTGGCCGTTAGATCATTCCATAAAAGACTGTATTGAACAAATTTCCGCTACTTCATTGTAAACACTTGAACAAACGGTTCTCTTGCTCTCCACTCTTACTCCATAATCAGAGCTGAGCGGGGCATCTTAGCGCTTGTTCTTACGACGGAATACTAGTCTCAAGAGTGATGAAAAAAGTTTCATATTTTCCGTATTTTGCTGCGTTGGAAAAATACAACTGATTCGATGAATGTTTCAGAGAAATTTAGTCGCAGATTATGGTTTAAGCCGAGATATCTGGAAAAACAACGTCCTCTACACTGAAGAATAGTAAATATTTCGGTAGCAGTAGCAAACATTCAAGAAAGGAAAATAAATTCGAAAATCTGAATTTGTGATTGAAATAAAACTTTCATCCAATCAGTTATGTTTTCCTAACCCAGTAGAAATGCGTGAAAGGAGAAATTCGTATGATTGTTCAGTCTACAGACTACATAAGAAATTTTTTCATATTGTTGCATCCATATCTGTGAAATAGGAAAATAAATCGTATAAAAATCCTGTACTTTTTAGAGTTTTATTATTGTTTTCAGATATATCAATATAAGTCAAACAAAGTAAAAGATGACGACCGTTGAATTTGGAGGAGGTCCATCGTTGAAATCACGTAAACAATTCGCTAACCTAAAAGAAGGTTCTCATGTGCCAAAGTAAGCCAAGTACATATCTGCACCGCACTATTCTATCAAAGAGAATTAATAAATGAAAATCATATAAGAACACTAATCCGGATTTTTTTCACGCTTAAAGCTTTCATCGTGGGTTGCAATTTTTATCTGAAACTAACTGTGTGAATTAAGATATACTGGACATATTCATCAGATTCGGTTTCGACAAGGACTCACTTATGGTGAGCAAACGCGTCGATTGTTCAACGAATATCCCCAATTATCACGCTCAGTACCTGATATATCATTAAGAACCGAAAAAAGACGGTTACAAGAACAAAAAGCGAATGAAGATCCTTATGAGACACACGAATTTCCAGATGGACTTCTGCCAGGCTACACTGGTATGTATTATTGCAGCTAAGTTCTCCATATAATAAACTCTGCTAAACAAATTTTGTTTTATAACATTTTTAGGTTATATTCCACAACGTAAATTTCAACATGGTGATCGTTATCGAGTTGAAACAGACGAATGTGTAGCAAATTCAAAACAAGATTATGGCGAAGGAAAGCAAAAAATAAATAATTTACAAAGAACAATTGCTTCTTATTCAAAACCATCGAATCTTAACAGTAATCGAATTGTCAAACATTTTCTAGACTATCATCGTGCCTATCATCCAAGTGAAATGTCAAAAATGTGTATGTATAAGTAATTCAGATACAATTTATTACTATAAATTTATTTTTCTGCATAGCTGATAGAAGATTGTTCACCGAACCACCAATACCTGGTTATCAGGGTTATATACCTCGAATTCGACCAACAGAACTTGGGTTAGGAACGCGATATCATGAAACAACACGAAAAGGTTTGAACCGTTTTGCATTAGAAACAGAACATTCAATGACAAACTGGCCCATTTCTCTATCGGACACAAATACGGCAGATCCACATAGACAAGAGTAAGTAACGTAGATTATTAAAACACCCACCAGGTTTTATATTAAATTAGCATAAAATTTTCATCTGATTTTACGATTGTTTTTAGCAACAGTTGAATGTTCGATAAAAACATTGTTTTAAAGGTTCAACAAGGCTTAACAATCGTTAACTTTGCTTTATTTTGTGATGTCGCTTTTCTGCATTATTAATTTTTCTTGCTACTTATCCTCTTAATCTTCTCAACTAGCTTATTCATGAAAGTGCTGGCGAAAATTACAGAGCAGCTGTATTTTTGAAATTTTTCGATGAAGCCGAGCAGCTATGTCAAATATGAATAATTATTTCGATAGCTCTTGAAGTTATCCATCAAATGCAGTATATGTCAAAATTTCAATGAAAAATTTTGAAGAAAGTTTTCTAGAAAACTGCTTGGGCGGAGTTCTTAGTCATAGAGGATTTTGCTAAAAATATTTTCAATATAGTCATCTAAAAGAGCATAAAATTCTGAACAAAATGAGAAATCGCTCAGCTCTCCACGATCTTTCGTTTCAAAGTTACAGGCATCAAAAATAACGAAGAAATAGTATAATTCACGAAAAAAACGCTAAAAATCGACTATAAAACAAGCAGAAGCACATTTCTTTGGGTTTTTCTGATGCCCTGTACCTCTAAAACGAAAGATCGTGGAGAGCTGAGCGATTCCTCGTTTTGTTCAGAATTTTATGCTCTTTTAGATGGCTATATTGAAAATATTTTTAGCAAAATTCTCTAGGACTAACGAGGGAAGGTCACCAAGTGTTCCCTCGCTTTTGACCTGAGACTCAGTTGACCGGGCGTAATCGAGCATACTGATTCTAATTTCATAATGGTTTGGGCTAATTTTGACTTTAAAGCCCCGGTTTTTGAAGATCTTGGTTTTCAAGCCGAAAAACCATTTGCGCTAAAACAACCTTTTGATCTGTCCAATTGATAGAGTACGTCGC